GCGGAAGGGTGTCATCTGAACCTTGGAAATATTAAGTCTGTCTTGGGAGAACTTTTCGACCAGAGACTTTGCTTTGGTAATTTAGTAGTTCCATAATTACGCTAATAATTTTAAATTTGGTGTTGAACTCCAGCCTACATAAAATCATGCAATAATAGCCTACTAAGCTGTTTATTGCCGTCTCATAAATTTGAGAGCGCTGACTGTTAAAATCTACTGGCAAACACAAAAGAAAATAGAAAGTTCAATCTGCAATCGCAGAGCCCGGGCGCTGTTGCCTGGGGTTATTCTTAGCTCTACCTTTCCCTCCACTCGGCTCCAGCGCCGGGGGAACCCCCTGGCATTTTAGGCTCAAACTCATACCTTAGCGGTTTTGATCCCTAATCAATAGTCATGTTACAAACGGCAATAACCATCGATCAAGCGTGTCGTGACTGGGTTGCCCCACTCGCGTTAAATATGGAGCGTGTATCTGAAAATGGTGCCAGCGACTTTCTGTTATTTATTTTGGAGCTATTAAGTCACGCCACCATATTTTACACTGCCACAGTCCTTTAAGCTATGCTGCTTCTTGAAAGAGTTGCTAAGTAGCAATAAAGCACTTTACAAACGCTATGAGTTTTTTTTTTTTAATTTGTTGTTATCTCAAACTCTAATATTCATTGCGGCACTTTAAGTTCGTACATAAATCGTTCAGACTAATGAGTCATAGAGAAATTCGCCCATGACTTTTCCTTTGCAATGCTCACTGCCTTTCCATTGCTTTTTTGGCCCTGCATTAGGAGCCGGTGATTTATTAACGCCAGGAAAATTGAACAAAGCAGGTCCTCCTGCACTGTGGCACCCAGCCTTCCACAGTGTGAATTAGAACATTATCAAATGTGTTTGCCTCGGTAACACTTAATCACCAAAAGCCGTAATGTGACCACAAGGCAGCTAAAACAAAGATTTAACATTTCTAAATATTAAACTTGTTAAGCAAATGCTCAGCAGACAAAGCAAGCACAAACAATTAAAGTCATCAAGCTAGAAATACACACTACCTACTTACCAACACAGACCCTACTGCTTGCTTAAGAAGTTTAGAATCTTTCAAGATAAATCAGGTGGGTTTTTTTTTAAAGGGAAAAAAAAAAAAAAGAAAAGAAAGAAAAACAAACTCCAGTAATAAGGAGTTGAGTTTCACTTCTGAGAGAATCACTCCTAGTGAGGACTGACGGCCACAGATCCATTCCTGACTATCTGCATTAATTATTTAATGAGTCACGTGACCCTAAAGATTAAAATTTCAATATCTCCCCCAGAACAGACGCAACACCTTTATCTGCGAGCGCAGGGATCCTCGTACTTGGGTCCCCTAATCTCTGCTGGCTTTGACAGCTCCTCAGTTTCTAGGGAGCGCGCTTGGGCATTAATGACATGGGTTTGTCCCGCTCCGTACAGCGAGATGGGGCAGCTTTACACCCCCCCACCCCAAATTAGCCAGTTGAACCCCCTTCCTCATTGCCTGCAGCGGGGGGGGGTCTGAGCTCTGCTGGCAGGGGGACAGGAGAGCATCAGGGGCGGCATGCCCCGGGCTGCCCTCCGCCGGTCAGTGCTGCCTGTCCGCCGGCCCGGGCGGAGCCAGGGGGGCTGCCCGGGGCCGGGGGGAGGCGGCCGCGGAGCTTCCCCGGCCCACGCCGGCAGCCCCGACCCCACCGGCACCCTGCGTGGGCCGGGGTTGGGAGCCCACTCAGGGCCGCGCCCGAGGGGACGGCCCCGGGGCGACCCCCCCCCGCACGTCGCGGCCCGGCCAGGCCGTGAGGCTCCGGACCCGGCAAAAGCCTCCGCCTCCCCGGGGCAGCGACGTGCGGGGGCCCCCAAGGCCCCGCCGCCCGGCCGGCTCCGGCGGAGGTGTGGGAACGGCGGGCGGGCCCGGGGCTGCCCGGATCGGGCCCCAGCTCGGGGGAAAAGGGGGGGACCGGGGGCGGCTGGAGTTTCACGGCAAGCCTGTCGGGATCTCTGCCTGTGTGAGGGCTCCCCCCACCCCTTCCTCGTTTACAAACACTGGGCAAGAAGGCCACGGGACGGCAAGCACCCTGAAGGAAAAAAAAATTAAAAAAAAAAAAAAAGAAAGAAAAAAAAAGAAAGAAGTCCCAGCATTGGGTAAGCCTCCAATGCAGGATGGCTCTAGTTATTAAATACCACAAGGCGCTTGTCACAGCTGAGTTCCCTGTGTAATAAAACACCAGGTATAGCAAGAGCTTGCAGGAGAAACGAGGAGGGGGATCTTGGAAAAGGAGCATTTTTCTTGGTGGGTGGAGGGGAGGTGGGTACCGAGGTTAACGGCGTGGCGTTCCTCTGCGGCCAGCAAATTGACTCCGAGGTGATTTGGTCTTTCTTTGAAATATTGACAAACTTCCACTTCCAGCGTTTTGGGCCGCGCTCGCCTTTGTGGCCAGAGCAGATAAATCCGCGTGTGAGAGACACCGGGAGAGCGGGAGAGGGGAAAGAGACATTTAGGTCCAAGTGCCGGATTAAAAAGAATACTGTCTTTAAAGGTCAAGGGTTTGAAGGGTCAGTCTGCTCCTCTAAAAAAAACAATTAATGGGATAGAAAATTTGTCCTCTCGGTGAACTCCCGGTTGCCTTAGCAAAGGGAGCACAATGCGAGAATTTAAACTGGACGATGTAATTTTCGCAGTTATTGTAAAGATGGGCGGTATGGGACGGGGAGCAGAGGGCTCCCAGCCCGGGAGCAGCGTCCCGCTCCCAGCACAGGGGGAAGGGGGGGAAAAAGGAAAATTTACCTTAAACGACGATAATCTGCCATGGGGGTATTTTGCAGTCCGCGGTTCAATCTCCAGCAAGAGAGTGTACATTTTTTTAGCAGACAGCCAAGATGCTGTGTCTTTACACATGACCACTTTTTTTTTTTTTTTTTTTTTTCCGGGAAAATCCTTTGCGTCTTCACAGACTTTTCCAAGAGAATGCCTTTCAGAACCGCTGTTGAATTACAAAGAAGTATTTATTGTAGGAGGTGATTAATGATTCTCGCTAAAATTGCTATTTGCAGCGTGATTTCATTTCTCTTTACAATGGGAGCAAACCAGGTTTATAGACATAGGCTACACACTAAAGAAGTCCTGCATCGCCAGTTAATACGTTTCAGCCGGAATTTTGCGCGGTTGTGATAATTTTGCCTCTAAATATATTGAGGGATTCTCAAGCTTACGTGCTTGCGGGTAGTAGCTACCTCACTTACAGCTATATTTTTCTCCCTTTATAAGGAGGCAGCTGGCAATTCAGGATTTAGTAAACGGCAATATGTCAGTGGAAGTGCACTTTTCAGGCCTGCTCCTTGGTCGGGGTTGGAGACAGCAGTGTTTGCTGAGGGTATTTACAGCTGCCACTTCTCTGATGCTGAACGTGCTTTGCCAGTGGCACATTAACTTTTTTCTCCGGGATGATCCGTGTTCCATGGCCAGGCAGGGATGCTGGCAATATTGTTGGGGCCTGGTGCTACCTCACCCAGGGGGTGATGATGCACCCGGTCCTGGCAGCCTCACTCGTGCGAAGAGAAGCACTGATTCCAAAAATCCCTCTCGGATGTATTTGGGTAAGTAGGTAAGTCTTGGCCTCCAGGCCTTCCCTGGAAGCTTTACTAGCACTTGAGCTCCTTTCCAAGCCTTTTGCTACCCGGCTCAGTGCTACTCTCTGTTGTGGAAGCCCTGAGCAAGGCTCCCCGTTAGCAGCTCTGCTTTGCCTGCCCTCCTTAGCTGCCTGGAAGCAGCAAGATGTGCAGCCTGAGCTGGAACCACTTGAACCCCATTTTGCCACAGTCGTTTCTACAATCTCGATCAAATAATCCTCTTGAATTGTACCCAAATTCATGTTTCTGCCGAGGCTTTCTCAACACATTTCGAAATAGTCTTAAAAAGAAAATAAAAGGAAACAGAAACAGAAAAGGCAGCTTAGAGTAACTTTAGGTTACCGCCCATGTATTCCCCTTCAAAAGTGCTAGCCAATTGAGAAATTATAATAGGGCGAAAATGAACGAATAAATCACGACTGGCTAAAGATTTAAAGCGTTATCATGGGGAGCATGTGTGACTTCTCCTCCAGCAAAACCTGTCATGGGAGCTTATTGGCTCCCAGCAGAAGCAGAATTTCTCTGTAACGCAGCTGAAAATAGTCGTACAGACAGCGATGGAGAGCCGGGCTAATTCTGCCGTAAGTCCGCTGAAGAGAATACCACTCACCTATACAATGAAGCAAGACCTTTCCTCTTCCTACAGGGCTCTTTTTACCAGCCAGGCAATTAGGAGTCAGGACTTTTTTCACTAAATTTAAAGCAACCATTACCTTATTGACAAGATGAATCCAAGTTAAAAAGAGACATTAAACTGTTTTCCGTTTCTGGTGCCAGCACCAGCCAAGCACAAGGTGGATGAAACAGCACTGAGTGGACTTGTGTTTCAAGCGTTTAATTCTTTTGTACAGAATAATCTTTATTACCAGCATTTGGCACTGTTATACATTACACCAAAAATCCACAAATTGTACATGGACCCAAACGATTTAGACGGTGCCAAATATGAAGACAGCAACAGCCTTTATAGCAATATTTCTTTAAATAAATGCAATAGGGAATGTGGAGAAAAACTAATAGATCACAGCTACTGTGGGGGCTACACTTAAAACCAGTTAAGTTACCTTTGATACATAAAACATTTTCCTTTAGACAGCGTGAGGAGACATTTTTCGTAAGTCTTTGACCTCCCGTGGACGTGTTCGTTCTCTCTCCCGTGTTGGTGTATGTGCACACGTGCATGTGCACTCTCACACACGCACACGGGAATCCATGAACACGCCACGAAACAGCGCTATTCAAGTCAATGCCTTATACAAGTGTCTCACGAGGTCTTTGCTTTGTTTTAACCGTCTTTCATTTTTAAAGTGTTCTCAAAAAAAAAAAAGAGAAAAAAGAGTCCGTCTTAGGTACAGCGAATTCGTCCGTGACAGCATCCAGCCCTCTCTTTACACCGAGGGCAAGAAAGCGTTTCCATAAATAGAAAAAAAATGATGGGCATGGAACCATTATCTATATACAATGTAGACAATCGTCCGGGTTTTGGTTTAAACATGCGCCCGTTCTTGGGCACGTCTCGTCTTCCTTTCCTGCTCCTGTTTTGTTTTACACAGTTGTTTGGTCCAAACGGCCAGCCTCCACCACGGGGCAGCTGGAAAACCCCAATAGATAGGTAAATATATATATATATATATTTAAAAAAAAAAAACAAAAACAAACAAACAAAAACGTATTTATAGCGCGGCTGCGTTGGGTGTAGCCCCATCGAGAGGATGGGGGTGGCCCTGTGTCTGTGCTTTGGACTGCTGGCTCAGTGTGGACTGGTTTGAGGAGCGCATCTTTGTGTTAGGCAGTTTATGGTCTTTCTTCCACTTCATGCGCCTGTTCTGGAACCAGATCTTGACCTGGCGCTCGGAGAGGCAGAGGGTGTGCGCGATCTCGATGCGTCGCCTCCTGGTCAGGTAGCGGTTGAAGTGGAACTCCTTCTCCAGCTCCAGGACCTGCTGTCTGGTGTAGGCAGTGCGAGACCTCTTGGGCTCCCCTCCGTTGTAATTGGGATTGACTGAAACGTGCACACACGGGCACACACACACACGCGGAGGGGAAAGAAAGGGGGGGGGAAGCCATGGGACATAATCATTATATAATAACTTGACACCAGGTTCACATAAGATACATAAACGGCAAGAAAAATTGTTTCACAGCCTATCGACAGTGGGGACAATCGAGGAGCAATAAAAAATGGTGATGGGCATTTGGGTTAGAAGAAAAGCTTCAAAGACACATGGCCCAGAGCCACTGCAGGGCAATTAAATTTATGGGGGCTATAATTACTGCCCTAACAGTTTGGCGTCTCGTAAATCTTTTGATAAAGGACCCCGGATACAAAAGGTTTCTCACTTTTTTTTTTTTATTAGGAAACGCGGAGGGAGCAGGGCGGGGGGGGGAAAGCGCCACACACGCAACCACCCATCCCGGCCCCGGGAGCACCCTCCCCCCTTCCCTCCTCTGCAGGCGCATCCCCACCTCCCCCTGGCAAGGGCAACTCACCCGTGCTCACATGGATCTTCTTCATCCAGGGGTAGACCACCGGCTCCTTCCCCTTCAGCCCGGGCAGGCTCTTGTCGGGCAGCAGCGGGCAGCCAGGCCCGGTGCCGGCCCCGGCGGCGGGGGCCGCTTCGCAGCGGCGCTGCAGGGCATGGCCTGGGAGCAGGGGCTGGGGCGGGCCGG